CAGGGACGCATATGCAGGCACCGTTTGGTGAGAGCTCTCACACGGCGACATTCGTGTCACCGGGTGGTTGCAGCGAGTGCGCCTAAGATGGGCCTTGCGAGAATTCCACTGGACTACCACGGAGGACAGATCAGGTTACGGCACACGTTATTTGACTACGCACCTCTAATAAATGCCATACATGCGGTTGTGGCTGCCCACCATGGTGCGGAATCACGCTGCGTCAGCCATCTGCGTCAAATTCCGACATTCTATGGCTGACTGGCTCGGATAGTGGAGTGATAACTGGAAGAGGGAAAAGAAGGAGCTCGACTCTGAGAACTGCGTTCCCACTGCGCACAGCGCGTATTCCTCACTAAGAACAATCTGACGCGCTACCACGGAGCCGGGCTGCGATTGCTCCTTCTCAATATGGCCTCCTCTATGACACTCCTACTCATCTGGGATTTGAGCTGTCCCTGCCCCGGTCCCCGTGCTCTGACCGGGGGTGTGGTAGCACGATAAGGCGCGGTTTCACACTGCGCTTGGTACCGTCTCCGGCCTACATGACTCTATCGTGACACCGAGTCCAGAAGGAAGAGGAGAAAGCGCGATAGATGCTTCGCAAGTCGGCTATCACCATAAACTAGCTCAGTCGGAATTTACTATTGTGGGGCACACGGCAGACATTGTCAGTAACGACGGTCGAACTATTGGTCGCAGCGACATCTTAGAATCTATATGATGTGGCGTTTTTCCGTAAGTCGTTGTCTCAACCGCGTCGTTAGGGGTCCGCATGACGAGTCCACCGGGGTGGAGGATTACCGCTTCTCTTCCTCCTTCACCACGAAGTCTTATATCGGGGAATATTTCTTTGAGCAAATTATTCAAATGCTGAAGCATGCTTTTCCTGACGATAGCAGGAGTATGGAGCCAGATAAACGGATCACGCTAGCTGAGGACAATTTTTTCTAGTCATTTTATGATCAGTTCTGCTTCTAAGACGGAGGACTGGGTGCTCGTTGTAGTGTTCTTGGCCTGCTTACAATAAAAATCCCGAAAGTCATATGAGGCACTCAGACTCGAGCGGACTCCGCGGGTCTTCGCCTGCATCACCAAAATTTGTTTATGCAAAACGAGATGGATACGAACAACGACGTCATGCCGGAAGAGACCGTAACTCCGTCGAAGGACTAGGCGTCTCTGCAGTCTATGGAAAAGTCGGACAACAAGGTAGATTGTGCGGATTGTGTAGTATGCTGCATGAGCAAACAACCCCTCTTCCCTATGCCAAAGTGTCTGGACACAAAATATACCCCCACGAAATCATCGACAACCGACAAAGAAAGAGAGGACTGGCGATACCTTAGGGGATAGTTCTGCGCGTGCGGAGTACGAGAAAGTTTGAATCGCTAAACAGAGCAGTGTCATCCGCCCCTTGGGGGACGAAGATCCTGGCCACGTCTTGCCTCTTACGCCTGCGGATTACACTCCTGGGGGCCAGCACACGTCACGCCAATTGCAAACTTTGTGAGCAGTTTCCGCGCTCCCACGTACGTCCTATCCTTCTTACCCATACCTAGATACAATCAAGACCTTTACCCTCGGTTCGTACGCGTTCCTTATGGACTAACCAGTTTACCTCTCCGTTCATCGTCAAAATTAACGTCCGCCATCCATTCCAACTTGCGTGGTTTACTTGCACGTTGGATCTGGCTAAGTTCTCTTGCAGTAACTTGGACGCCAACTCCGGTGGGAAGCAGAGAGACCAGGTCCCTTGGACACTTAAATCCCGGCTGGGCTTACACAAGCATATTTTCAGGACACCGGCAACGCCGTCGACCCCACGGCAGCAAGAATGCACACGGCAGAGAGCTCGACTGTTAATTGGTGCATTTTCGCATGCGCCCGTAGCAGTGCGCTATGACCAGGCAGTCTGAGCGAATGCACAACAACGATGCGCCCATGGCCAGCGACAAGCCAGTGATAGGCCGCATCAACAGGGCGTAGCAGGTTTAGATAAGCACAACACACGCTACTCCCTGGCAGTTAACCACACGGCAACAATTTGAGCGTCGATTTTGATGATGTCCACCGTGTGAGAAGAGGGACGGAGATTTGCGCGTGAACTAGCTTATAGTGATAGAAGACAGGCACAGCATCTAACGCACACTCTCTTTCACCCCCCACCTGAACAGAGTGTCATGACCAAGTCGAGAGGACCGAAGGCGGGAGAGGCCGCAGGTGGTTGGCGCGGCTGGAGCCGCCCCTAGGCGTCCCCTCACACCCGGCCCTGATCCCATGCTGTGGGAGTCTCATTGAGACCACATTAAGAGGGAGTCATTGCAGCCTGACCCTCAGTCCGCACAAGCACACAACACTGGGCTGACTGCGATGCCCCAGATCTTCCTGTCAATTAGCGACTTTCCCAGCTACGGCTTTTAGTGCACCGTGATACCTTCGAGCTCGTCAGATTGTTTATATGGAAAAAAATTCGCTGAAACATCGACCTCACTTTCTATTCCCAGGTCCCGGCCATTATCAGAGCCGGTGATTTGGCTGATGTGGGTAATGGGCGCAGTGGCCGACATAGCTAGTGACCCCGTCTGCGCTTGCCAGAACACAAGCACCAGGATTTTACACTGGAGGAGTTGGGTGGCATAGATCTCGCGTGAGTGAGAGAGCCAGAGGTCAAGTGAAGAAGGAGCCACCGCAGCCTGAATTTCAGTTCACCAGTCCGCCACTCCAGATAAATACGCAATGTGCTGACTGAGAGGCCAGAGTTCCATCATTAGTTGGCAACCTTTCAAGTCACGACGCTTAGCGCATTGTGATAGTTACAAACTCGAATCACACATGCAGCAGAGTTACTTGGAGAAGGGGCCGAAAAACACAGTTTCCACTGACGTCAGAGATGCCAATTACGTCCATGCGTTGTGTGTGGCCATGCGTGGTGTGTGTTGGTAAGGATGGATGTGGTAGCATGGTATTGTTGGCGATGTTCTGACGCAGTTTTTCATAGAGGCATACGTGGTCTAATAGGCCCATTTGACGCGGTCGATTCGTGCGAGGAATGTGCGTTGGCAGAGTGGGTCTGAGGGAAACAGTTGGCTGTTGGCGTTGTCGATTTAAGGTGCTTGCGATTTGCGAGTCTCCCTTTTAATTTTGGTGACGGCGATCAGGGTTGCTTCGTAGATTGCCGCGCCAGTATTCACTACTCCTCTCCAGGTCGGTCTATTCTGGGCGAGTTCCTCCCAGGTCTCCGGGTTGGTCTGCAGTTATTTCAGAGAATTCTTCGAAGTGTCCCTGTAGCGCCTTTTTTGTCCTCCTTGTAGACGAGTACCCGTGGCGACATCACCCTAGAAGAGTCGTTTGGGTTATGGTCCATTCTCACGAGATGGCCGTTCCATCGCAGTTACAATTGTCTCAGCAAATCGCGGATGCTGAGGATTCCTATCCGTGTCAGCACTTCTGTATCCAGGATCCTGTGTTGCTATCTCAGCTTTTGTATTCTGTGAAGGCATTTGAGATGGAAGTGATTGAACTTCTTGGTATGGCTGGAGTAGATGGTCAAGGTCTCTGCTCCGTGTAGAAGTGTCGTTAAGACAGCGGCTTTGCGATTCCACACGGATTTCCACAGCCATTCAAAGTCTTTAGGGATCTGGTGGGCCACTTCGTCGTCAATTCTGATGCAGTGTGACATTGTGCTGCCTAGATAGTTGAAGTTCCCCACGTTTCCCAGTTCAGTGCCGTTGGCGTGGATGCCCCAGACACTGTACTCTGCGTTCGGAGGCTGTTGATGCATCACTACCGTCATTTCCGAAATGGGGGCAGACGGAGGTGAATAGGTCCATGCTGATTTACATGTCGCCATATCGCAGTTGCGCTGAGAGTGCAATCGTTGGCGAAAAAAGTTTGTGGACGGTATTTGTGGTTACACGCGGCTGGCAGTGTATCCGCCAACGATTGAAAAGTTGGCTGTTCATCCTGTAGGTGACGCGGATCCTGGGACGTTCGTCATGGTGGTTGCCCATTAGCACGACAAATAACATGGTGATAAGTATAGAAGGTATTCTTTGTATGCCACAGATGCTTGGGTGCCTTCACCCAATCCTTACCACTCCGTTGGTCACAGTGAATGCCTCGGAGGTGGCTCTGTTGTCCGTGACGCGCGCCATCATGCCATCAAGGAGCTGGCGCACCATCTGAGTGAATCATTCTGGACAGCCGAATTTCTGCATGATTTTCCAAAGTCCTTCGCGATTCGCCGTGTCAAGGGCTTTCGTCAGATACACAAAGGTACCGCAAAATGTATCCGATTCTCCTGATATTTTTTACTGCAGATGGCAAAGAGTAGAGATCCTGCCGGCGGGAACGCGATGACGGCGGAAGCCGCACTGGTTTTCCGGCAGGAGTCCCTGTTCCAGATGGCTTTTGGGGCAATTGAAGAGAAGGCGAGCAGAATTTTTTTCGATGATGCTGAGAGGCGAGATTCCTCTGTGGTTGTCCCAGAGTTGGCGGTCCCCTTTTTTCCTTCTAGAGATGGACGACTGTGGCGTCTACAAAATTCTTAGGGGATAGTCCTAGGCGCCACATCTCCTGAAAGAGCGCTGTGCGGTGATTCGTAATTTGGGGGCTGTCGTGCTTGTCGATCTCAGTGGGGATCGCATCTGCCCGGGTGCTTTCCAGCTGGAAAGTTGCTGAATGGCCCTGATGGTTTCGTGGAAAGGGGGTGGGAGGTCGAAGGCGGCATACATCGCCACTTGAAGCAGTCGGTAGATGGTGAAGGAGCGGTTGAGGACACTCCTTAAGTGGTCTGACCAGCATGTCAGAATTTGCGCCTTCCCAATGGGTAGAGTAGTTCTTGCGGCGTTGAGATGAGAAACGGTCCTTTTGGCTGTAGGGTCGTAGACAGTCCTGGTCGCCGCAAAGAAGTCCTTCCATCCGTTGCGGCCGGCGTACCCTTGGATCTCCTCGGCTTTGCAAGCCATCCAGGCGTCCTGCATTTCCCATTGCTGCTGCTACACAAGGTAGAGACTCCGGTAGAAAGCTGCTTTGTTTGCGTCGGTAGGGTGGTTAACGTACACTTTGTGCAACCGGCTCTTCTCGGCGAGCAGACTGCTGATGGCGGTGTCGTTGTCGTCGAACCAGTCCTGGTGCTGATGACGTCCGCGGCCGAGAACATTCAGGACGGTTGACTGGACTGTGTCCCACAGCTGACACCCCCGGTTCTCCACGGAGGCGTTCTCGTCGGCGGCGACTGGAAGGTTGGCTAGCCGATGAGCCATCTCGTTGAAATGGAGATGGTGAGCATGCAGAGACAACAAAACAGTATTCAACTTACCTGGTGATCGCTTACTCTGAGGTCTCCTGTGTGATTGTAGGCGGATCCTCATCTTGAAGATCAGGAGGCGATGGTCGGTCCACCCGTCAGCACCAGAAATCCCCTTTGTCACCATTACATCCTGCTGGTCTCGCCGCCGGACTAGGACATAGTCCAACAGGTGCCAACGTCGCGACCGAGGGTGTATCCAGGTGGCCTGCTCTCACGCTGGAAGGTGGGAAAAGGTGTTGGTTAGGATGAGACGATGTTCTGCGGAGGTTCATAGGAGCAGGTCATTGTCATTGGAGCCGTCGAGACCATGGGGACCCAGCACTCCTCTCTAGGCAACATGCTCTGTCAACGCGGGCACAGACGTCCTCGTAGAATTATTTATTTGTCACGTCAGCGTTGGTCGTTGGGGGAGCGTAGACGCTGACGATGGTAGTGAATTCGCTTCCCTGGAGAGGCAGACAGACGCTCATCAAGCGATTGTTTATGCCCTGCGGCAGACAGGGCAGCCTCCCCACGATGTCGTTCCGGATGGCAAAGACGACACCCACGTCCCGTCGCACTGCCTTGGGACGACCACTCCAGAAGAAGGCGAAGTCGGCACCCACCTCCTCCAGTTGGCCTATTTCGGAGAACCGGGTCTCGCTGAGTACGACGATGGCCACCTTGTAGTGCGCCAGTTCCCGAGCCACTTGTGCCGTCCTCCGTGCCGGTTAGTTGCTCCTGGGATTTTTTAAAGGGAGACGAGCCTTCCACGTTGCCAGAGTGATCGGACACTCTACCAGTCTGTGGGGGTGAGTGGGGGGGGGGAGGAGGAGAGGGAAGAGGTTGTTGTTTCTTGTTTGATTGTTACGACCGCTGCCATTTCAGTCTGCAAGCCACAGTCTGTGCGTAAATGTCGTGAACCCAGCATTTGTTTAGGTCACCTTTTATAGCTCCCTCCACTCCTGGTGATAAGGAGTGCTCTTTCTAACCAAGGCTGTGTAGTCGTCTCAGACGGCTACTGAACTCAACTATGGGTCACGTATTATTTTAATGAGACAAAGACCTGATCGGCCTGGGTCGCCTACGTGATTGCATGTCGTCCTCGCCGTAGGACTTTCCGACCGTGGGGGGGGGGGGGAGAGTGAAAGGAGAGGGGAACAGAGTTGCCGGGTGTGGGTATACACCCAGATACCCTCACCTGGTCGAGACGGTTACCGGGGCGTGGTCCCTGGCAAGAGCCTAGCTTCCAGGAGTCACACGCGGAAGTTGGATGCCAGTTGATGGACACTAGTCGTAGTCAACACCTGCAAGCAAGTGAGTGGCCTACTACGACAATCACGTGGACCCACAACTGGGCACGCCTACACCCTTTTCTTGGTGTAAAATCCTGGTCATTGTACTTTGTGCGTCAGAGGGTGCCAGCAGCAGTTACACTCTGACAACTTGTCCTGTTTCTCGTCCTTCCTCGCTGGCCTTCCCACGCTCGTATCAGCAAAGGCCAATTTTTCGAAAGCAACATCGCTGTGGATGGCAAGTTGCGCTCAAACGCCAGCCTAAAAACAAGTTGTCAATCCCGGGTTTTCTTTCGACTAACTGTCGATCGATATTTAACAAAGCCCATGATTTGGAATTACTTCTGTCAACCAAAGAACATGGCAAAACAGGAGTAATTTGCCTTCAGGAGACGTGGCTGAATAGCCATATTGACTCGGAACTAATCACTCCCTCGACATTTTGTTGTTTTCGAAATGATAGAGCATCTCCAACAGGCAGTAGAGGTGGAGGAGTGGCCATTTTTGTCAATCAAGACTGGTGTATAAATTGTAAGCCCCTGTTTTCATATTCTGGTGATTTAATTGATGTAATTGCTGTTATCTGTAAGCCCCATTTGTTAAATAGCTTTAAGGGTATTATATTTGTCAGTATTTACATCCCCCCTTCCACAAATGAAGGCTCTCTGGGCCGTTTTTTTGACTTCCTCACACAAAAACTTGCTTCATTATCCTCAGACCATCTTATTCTTTTGTGCGTTGATTTTAACCGTGTGAGTTTTCGGCCCATTACCCTTCTGGGTTTTGATGACCTTGTTTCATTCAATACACGGGCTGATGCCCCTCTTGATCACATCTTGACCAATTACCCAAAGCTTTTTTGTATAAAAAATAGAGCTCCACTCTCCGGGTCTGATCACTCAGTGCTACTAGGACTTCCAAAAGTCTATTCCACCTCTAAGCGTCAACTGCTTACAAAACCCGAGAGGAAAATTACTGTTCGAGACACATCCGTAGATAAGATCCACTTACTGCAGAGTTCAATAACTAGTACCATTCCAACTTTTCTAGCACTACCAAACGCTGAATTATGCTCTAATTATCTTACGCTATTTTTGAATCACATTTTTGATATTTGTTGTCCCAGTGAAACTGTTATGGTCAGGCCTGACAGAATCTCCTCACCATACCTCAAACACTTGAGACGTCGCAAAGAAACCTTCTACAAACTAGGTCAACGTGACAAGGTGAAGGATATCAATGTTTTAATAAAGAACGAAATTGCCAGACTTAACGGTTTATTCGTTAGTCAACTTTTTTCTACGTCATCCACCCCCTCCTCTCCTTTTCGTTCTGCTGAACTGTGGAGGAATCTCAAGCGTCTCACTGGTCAACGTAATATACTTGAACCCATTGACGTAGATTTAAACTCTTTAAATCGGAATTTTATCTGTACTTCTAACGACTCCACTTCTCGCCCAAACGAAATTTACCTACCACCATGTGACTTTACTCCTGTGACTGTGACAACAGTGGAACACCATCTCAAGAAGATTCGCGGGTCAACGGCGGCTGGGCCGGACGGTGTCTCTCCTTTTCTCCTTAAGTCTTGCTGTTTGCAGATAGCTCCCGTCTTGACCCACCTTATTAATCTATCCTTCATAGAGTCCAAGATTCCTGACGCCTGGCGTACAGTAAGAATTACTCCAATCCCTAAAAAATCGTTAACTTTTGCTCCTAAATCTTTCCGTCCTATTGCCTGCTCTTCTGCACTCCTGAAACTTACTGAACGAGTTGCATTAGATTCCCTTAAGTACTCCTCCGTCAATTTTTCTGATCCTCTACAATTTGCATACAAGGCAAAGCGTAACACCTTGGATGCTGTTGCTTTAGTTGTTCATTCAGCTTTGAGAGACTTAGACAAGGGATGCCGTGCATATGCATGTGCTTTTCTCGACTACTCATCCGCCTTCAACACTATCCCGCGCCAACTGCTCCTGACCAAAGCAGCTGCGTGCGACACTCCGAGCTGGGTTGTCTCTTGGCTTAGAGATTATTTTTCCTGCCGCACTCAGTTTGTCCAGTCGGGAAAGAGAAAATCTGCTATTCTTCCAAATGATTGTGGAGTTCTACAAGGTTCCATCTTAGCCCCTCATCTTTTCTCCCTACATACTGATGATTTGAGATCGCCAAACGACTGCCTGTATGTTAAGTATGCCGATGACATGGTCGTAGGCCACCCACTCAAAAACCTGACTCACCTACAGTCTTTAAAGGATGGCTTAGATCACGTCTCCGCATGGTCTTCGAATAATGGACTCCTACTCAACAATCAGAAATCAGTGCAGTGTGTGTTTCGATTGCGACCCTCTCCCATTCCTGAACCTTTGGATATTCTTCCCAATGAGGTATCTTCTTTCCGGTACCTAGGTGTTACTTTATCCTCAAATCTCTCTTTCTCTCTTCATATGGAAACCCTTTTAACAAAAATTCAAAAACTTGTTTATTACATTCGTCGTCTACGTTCATATCACACACCCCAGTCCTTAATCTGGCGATTCATAGATGGCTGTATTCTTCCACTCATTCTTTATTGTTCTCCAGTTATTTTTCCAGCCTTACTTAAAAAAGATCTAATTATTTTTAAACGTGTCATTCGAATGCTCGCCTCTGCTGCTGGTGTTTCCTATCATATTTTAGTTGATATCATCGTGCAGCGACACTTCAACTCGGTGGGGCAATTCGCTGACCGAATTCTGAATGACACCGTCCATCCCCTTCATAATGAGTTAATGGCTGCGAAATCCTTACGCCCCATGCGTCGATGCTTCCGCCACATCCCTTGCCGCACTTCGGCCTATCGGAATTCCATACTGCCATTTCTAGCTCGGTATCTCACCTGCAAAGATGTTGAAAAACAAAAACTAAAACACGATCTTGCACCTTAAAGTCCTTTTTTCTCCATATATAATCATGTCCTCCTGTCCAAAACCTGTCAATCTCTATGGTAATCACTCTGTACTGGAGAACCGTTTTTGCTGAAAGTTTTGAAAGTTATTTTCAAAATAAAGCAGTCCTCTCTCTCTCTCTCTCTCTCTTGTACGCATAAGCGCGGGTCTTCACCGTGACTGCCGCTTGCGTCTTCTCCCGCCTCCAGTCTTCCTGACTTTTTCTTGACATCGGATCAAGGTGAGAGAGGTGGGGTAGGCGCGAGGGATGCGTCGCAAGTCTAATATCACCACAAATTAACTCAAGCGCAAGTCACGGTCCCTGCCCTCACCCCACTGTGGAGCACACAGATGGACATCGTCGGTAACGACGGTCGAAAATTCGTCTGTGTGATGTTCCCATCCCATTATCCCTCTCCTCCCCATCCGTCAGCTCTCCACTCCTCCAGTCCTACAGAGAGGGCGACATGCAATCCCGTAGCGGTTCAGGCTGACTCGCGTCGTTCTCTCGCGCCGGCACTGATAGGGGAGATGGGCTGTCGTCTGAGATGTCTACGCAGTGCGGTATAGGGATGGCACTACGTGCCACTGGTGTGGAAGGGGTTATAAAAGATTCCCTAAACAAATGCTGGGGAATCATGTCGCTAATAGTATTCAATGGTACGTTGATGCAAAATTCGCGGTCAAAACGCTCAAATAAACAACAGCAACCCCTGTTCACATGCCTCTCCGAACCTTGCGGACTGCAAGAGGGAGTCCGCCCATTCTGGCAGTCCGAAATGTTCGTTCCCTTTTAGACAATCCGGGGAGCAGTTGACTGGCACGGAGGACGGCGCAAGTGGCTCGCGAACTAGCACTCTACAAGGTGGACATTAATGCCCTCAGCGAGACCCGGTTCTCCGAACACGGCAATTTAGAGGAGGCGGTTGACGGCTACATCTTCTTCTGGGGTGGTCGTTCCAAGGCAGAGCGACGGGATGCAGGTGTCGCCTTTACTATCCGGAACGACATCGTGAGCGCCTGTCTGCCGCATGGCGCTAAACGACCGCTTTATGAACCGGCGCCTGCCTCTTCGGGGAGCCATGTTTGCCGCAATCGCCCGCCAATGACCAGTCGCGACGAGTTGAAGCACAAGTTCAACGAGAACCTGCATTCCCTCCTGGCAACTGTACCGAAGGCAGACAAACTGGTCGTCCGTGGTGACTTCTACGCCCGCGTCAGGACAAGCTGTGCTGCCTGGAGCGGAGTACTGGGTCCCCACCGAATCGGCGGCTGTACCAACAATGGTCTCCTTATCCTGCGAACCTGCGCAGAATACCGTCTCCTGCAGACCAACACCTTCCGCCTTCCGACGCTGGAGGAGGCGATCTTGATGCACCTCCGGTCGTGACGATGGCAGCTACCGGAATACGTTCTCACCCAGAGGAGAAATTGACAGGATACGCTGGTGACCAAAAAAATCTGCGACGCCGATGGCTGGACGAATCATCGTCTCGTCATCTCCAAGATGAGGATCCAACTGTAACCCCGCCGGAGATCACATGGTGAACGACCCCGTGGTAAGTTAAATACTGCTCTGTCGAACTTGTCTGCTCACCACCTACATTTAAGCAATTAACTAACCCAGCACCTTGAAGAGTTGTCGACCCCGGACGACAACGCCACCGTGAAGACACGTCATTAAACGACTTCCTCGAGTAGAAACGAACGACGACCTTGATCTCGTGCCTTATTTGCCAGAAGAAATCAGAGTCGTATACGACCTATCCAGTGGGAAGGCACTAGGACCCGAGGCGATTCCGGCTGAAGACTACAAGCCCAGCGGCCCCCAACTCATGAAACAACTCATAACGCTATTCAAGATGTGGCGCCGCGAACAAGTTCCACGGGATTTCAAAGAGACGGCATTCTTCCATCTCTACAGGCGGAAAGGAAATCGGCAGATCTGCGATAACTACAGAGTGATCTCGCTGCTCAACATCGCTAGGAAACTCTCTGCATGCGTTCTCTCCAATCGCCCCAACAGTCATCTGGAACAGGGACTCCTGACGAAATATCAGTGGGGATTCTGACGCCACCGGGGAGCAACTGGCATGATCTCCGCCGTACGCCAACTGCAAGAGAAATCCAAAAAATGCGGACCCAACTCTACACTACGTCCGTGGACTTGACTAGGGCTTTCGGTGCGGTGAATCGCGATAGACTGTGGAAAGTCATACGGAAATTCGGCTGTCCTGAACGATTCACGCACATGGTGCACAGCTCCACGACAGGACTATGGAGCGCGTCATATGCAACGGAACCGTTCCACTAGCAATTTCGGTAACCAACGGATTTACTCAGGGGTGTATACTTGTTCCCACCCACTTTAGTCTCACGTTCTCTGCCATGCTGATGGTCGCTTACCGCGATGAGCGCCATGGGATACGCATCGCCTGTAGGATCGACAGGAATTTCCTCAACAGCAGGCCCCAACGCGTCTCTCCACGAATACAGTCTGCGAGCTGCTCTTCGCGGATGACTGCGAAGTCAACACCGACATGCAACGGAGCATGGAATTTTTCGCCGCCAGATGCGCCAACTTCGGACTAACAATCAGCACGGATAAAACGGTGGCCATCCACCAGTCGTTATCTGACACGAAATGTAGTGCTCTTCGAATCAATGTCGACGGCAACCAACTTAAAACCGTAGTCAACTTCGCTTACCAAGGAAGCACACTCTCACGCAAAACGAGATTCGACGACGAGATTGCCCATAACAATCTCCAAAGTCGGCAAGACCTTTAAACACCTGCAAGCCTTAGTGGTGGACACTGGAACGGTACTCGAGGGGTCGCAGCGAAACGAAAAGGTAGGTACGGTTCCTAGGGGCAGCTGCCTATAAAATAATCAGAGGCCAATGTGATATAACGACATGACGAATCCTGTTCGTCGTCTAATAAGACCCCCCTCAGCCCACAATCGCCTTGCAGATTAGGGCCCATACACAGGTCGGACAGGACCGCGGATCTCACCCTTACCATGCCCTCACCTACCCCTCCCCGCCCCCATCTCCAGGAGCATCCGCGACCTACGCAATGGACTGTCGGGCCGAGACAAGGAGCAGTAGTGCTGATCGAAACTACAGCCAACCCCTGACCGCTGCGACATACCTACCGGGGTACTCTAGGCCAACTCAGTACTAGACTTCAGCGTAATACTTGCAGGAAGAAAGGCTCTGACGCCGACCTTTTGAGGACTCGACTACGGCCCAGTTCACGTATTGTTGAAAAGACAACCTGTGAGGAAATACGTTGACCGCCTCACAGCGCCTGCCATTGTCGCAGACTTACTGTCCGTCTTAAATTGTTTGGTCAAATTGATGCAAATGACGACCGCCTCTAATACCTCTTCAGTAGAGGGCAACTTGTTTGAACTGAAGCACAGTCCCCAAAATTGCTCCTTTGAGGTGCTACGCCACAGCATACACCACGAGTCTCTGGTAGAACGACCAAACTGACTGGTAGCATGGGGATGCTTGTTCTCGTAGTGTTCTGAGTGCGAATAACCTTCGCTGTAGGACCAGAGGCTCTGTACTGCCCGATCACAACGACCTTTGGAGTAAAAATACTCGAGATATTGAACCACCATTAGCTAATAGAGCTAAAAAACCGAAGATTATCTGAGACAAACAAGGTGCAATCTATGTCGGACGCGACAGTTCGCTGGAGGAAAGTTCACGCAGCTGCCCGACCAGGTTGGCCCGGTCTGTCGCTGGAGAAGAGGGTGAGACGACCTCCGTGGATAATCACGCGAGTGCGGTACTGAGGTCGACCAGCTATAACGGCGCCCCAAATACAAAGCACTGAGCGGAAGAGGGTGCTTTGAGGAGCGCGTCCAAAGTTCTAAGTCTTAGGGCTTAACATGAAATTTGCGAGATCTCACAAAAGACGTCAAGTAGCAAGGCTGTCAAGGTTGTTCGAGAAACGCAGCGTAGGACGCCAACTCGGCGTCAGAGACAAAAATTGAACAGGCGAAACTGTGGCCCTGGCAATGTATTTAACCCAATCCCACTGCAGACGGGAGTAAATAACGAAACGAAATAGGCTTCAAAGGAATAGAGGAACTCTTTCAAAGATATGTAGACCAGAAAACTGGTGGTTTTAAAAGAAAAAAGCAAAGGGGTCGTACGAACACTGCGGATCTGGCAACGCTTTTCTTCTCTTTCCCGTCTCATTCGGACCGGAGTAGTGTACGTTCATGGAAGGGGGTCACTATCCTGGACGAAGACAACATCAACAGTAGGGAGGGGACTGGTTTTGTATGGAGAGGTGGGGCGAAAGACGCCCGCCTGGTTGATAAGAAAACCAGAGATGGAATGAAAGCGAGATTATAAAAGAGTATTGTTTTCACCATGATGTCTTCTTCACATGTTGTGGCGTATCATTCAAGAAGCGCGTCCGAAATGAGACCAAGGGGAGGGGGGGGTTATAAGGAAATATTAAGTGAAGTTGGCTCAGGCGAATGTCGTGAAAGACGGGTTTTCCAGTCACCATTGACTGATCACAGAATGAGTCGCAGAATCAAGACCTCGGGTGTGCATTCCACCTCATCCGGCAACCC